TGTGATTGGTTGATTAGATAATTGCATTAATGAGAAATTGAACAGGTGTTCCTAATAATCCTTTAGGTGAGTGTATACTCCAGGGACTAACGAGCAGGGCGGGAGCAACGCAGGTGAGAGGGATCAGGGCTAACGAGACAGGCAGGCAGAGAGACAGAAGGGGAAAACACAGGGGCTGTGTCCGAAATCATCCATTACTCACTATATAGTGAGCTCGCCATTTTGTAGTGCTGTCCGAATGTATAGTGATAATTATTATGCCCTATATAGTCCAGTTTTACTAAAAATGATGGCGAATCGAAAATGTGCTCAAACGTTTTCGGAGTTGTGACTCAGCGGGGGGAGCAAATCAGACGGCCGACCAGATCAGCTCACAGAGCCCTCAGAGAGTCCAGCAACAACGGCAGAGTAAAGACCCACAGCTGTATGGTGGTTTTAACGTTCGTACCGCTGTTATTCTGTCGTTACATTCTGAGTAATTTTGTAAGGTTTTAACTGAAATCAAGAGACATGGTAATTGTGGTAATGGTGATATACAAAAAAATCTGTTCTTGTGAAACTTCAGAAGGAAAAAAAAAGAGAAAAAATGAACAGAAATAGTATGAAGTATGAGTGGACTGTCTTTGCTTTATTATTATTATTATATAATATAATTATTATTAATATTATTATTTTATTAGACATTACATTGTTAGTGTACAGTAGAGTTGTGGTCACAGTACTTACCTTTTATTTGCTTTTATATAATTTTTTTATGTGCAAATATATCTTGTTAAGTTAAAACCTACAATAAACCCGATTCTGAGCTTTTTGTATTGGGGGATAGGGAAAAGCCTGGCTGTTATAATAATTAGAGCGATTTAGAGCAATGCAGGCGACCTCTGCGCTGGTATTCAAGAACGCATCTCTCAAACTGTCAGCAGCGTGTTGTGTGCTCGTGAAATTCGTGACAAGTTCATTCTTCCAATAACGACTAGCAAGAACGTTCTCCCCAAGAACACCAGTCCATTCTTTGCATTCTTGGTTTTGAGAAACACCCAGAGAGACTGGCAGGCAGGCAGATTACTAGGGGAACAGACACAACACAAGTTACTGAATAATAAAACATATCAGAGAAATATAAATGACAAACTAACACAGACACAAGCAGACAGATCACCAATAACTACAACCAACTGGGAAAACAAACTGAAACTGGGATTAAACAGAACTCAGAGCAGACATGGGCAAAACAACACAGAAGTACACAGACCAGAAGTAAACACTAAAACATGAACTAAGGCACAGGACTAGGAACTAAGATAAGAGACGAGACAGATACTAAGTAAACTAAATAATAAACAAGGCTACACAGAGATCAGAGCAAAGAAACCGGCAGAGAACATAAATTGACACCTAGCAAACAGACAGAACCCAATCATGATGGTACAGAAACTAATACATGAGACAGGAACAGAACTGAACAAGAACTAAGGCAGACACCAAGATATGAACAGGACAGATCAGAACAGAACAAGCAGAAGACAGAACAACATAGACAAACTCAACACACGGACTAAGATAGCTGAACAAGACAGATTAACACAGAATGATAATAACCAAACGGATAACAAATCAGGCAGAGCTCACAACACTAACAGACTGGACACAGGACAGAACCCCAAAACACAACAGAATAAATAACAGATACTGAACTGAACAAATAACTCCAGAGTGCTAAACTTAACATAGCCGACAGTAAAAATGCTGCTTGACATGAATTCTTCAGATTTGTGGCACTGCTGAAATGTATTGTATTATACAGAGAGGTGTTTCTGTTAATTTGTCTACCCTCATTGAATGAATGGAGGGGACAAAATAATAGAAACACCTCATTAGTTTTACTTGGTGCACATAATAAACTGCCAACTGAGAGTATAACAAGAACATGAGCAACAGCAGTGGAAGAACCCAAGGCAAAAAAATGTGTGTGTGTGTGTGTGTGTGTGTTGGGGGGTCGGGGTGTTATAAACATCACAAACATGATTTACTCCCACCAGTCTGACAGTCAGCTCCGTCCTCCACATATTTAGCTTTATATAATAATGTATTATTAAACATCCCAAATCACTAAATCTAGTTTTTACTGACTCAAGTCAAATATGGAGCAGATGTCCAGCAGAGAGGTAAGTATAATTACTTTGTTAAGAAAGTCTCTTTTTGTGTTAAAACATTTCAGATATTTTTTACTTATCACTTATATTATCTCATTAATTACTATTTATGTGGTTTTACATCTTTGTAACTTAAGAAATTTGATTAATATAGTTACAGTACCTTTTTATTATTATATTGTTGTCCAAGGCCAGCCTTTATTTAATATTAATAATTAAATAAGTGACCTTTAATGTATTCAGATTCTAAATTAGAAAACTATTGTTCAGATATATCATCATCTGGTTGCTGCTATTTACATTCACCCAGATGCAAATTCAAAAAATGCACTGTGGAATGTTTGGGATGTATACGAATATGTACATATGTGTATAAAAACTGTGTATGTTATTTTATATGTTACCATATTTTAATATAGGCCTACATTTAATTATATGTTGTGTGTGTAGCATGGAAGGAACTACAAATTTCGTTTCATTATGTGCTGTTCCTTTGTGCTGTATAATGACTAATAAACAACCTTATACCTTTTATGTATGTATATAATAATTTATATAATGAACTAAATTTATCAGTCCTGTATAATCTACTGTTTAATACTGTTTTTTAAATGTATTTGTTTACTTCTCTTTTTAAAAACACTTTTTGTTTTCACTATTGTTTAAACTCTTTTCTTTTGTCTTTATTGGTTCTTATTATTTAACTCCAAAACTCTTTAAATTAAAAATCAATTGAATTATTGATCTTGTTTCAGGAGATCAGGCTGGGAAGTGGACTGAATGAGAGCAGAGACACTTGTGGTTGGTATATATATATATGTGTGTGTGTGTGTATGTATACATGGGTAATTATTTGCAAATGAGTTCTTTGTTAATTTGTCATGTCTCAGGTAAACCTCAGGTGTCTGACTGGTGTCCACCTCAACAGCAGCACCTGAATCTGACCAGCAGGGGGCACAACAACACGTCACACACTCAGACTGCTGCTGCTGTGAGTCAAACTAACCCTTAAGCCAATACGTTCCCCTTCTAACACAATCAGTGTTAAATGTAACCCAGCGGGTCTGAGGGCGCACCACCCCCAGGCTGTGTGTAATGTGCTGACCACACTGTAACGTTAGCACTCTTGTCAGGATGTTAGCCATCCAACACTGTTGGGAAAATATAGCTGAGAGGAGAAACAGATGAAAGCTACCAGCTGCTGTCTTTTTCTGTTACAGTCAAGTAGTTTTTATTTACTGCCATTACAACTGATATTACTGTTACTGCTTCCGCTACTACTACCTCTGCTTGGTTTTACAACATCCTAACTTACACATCATTAAAGGTGTGCTGTGGAGTTTATGACCACTATTTGTACTATGACTACGTCATACCAATGTCTTTATATAGGCAAGTCCTGCCACTATGCGGCCATCTTGGTAACGCCTCCAGACAGTTATATGGGCCCCTATCTGAATTAATGGGGAGACCCATAACTGCACTTTCACTGGTCACCGGGACATAAAAGCTGAAAGCGTTTTATAACTTTGCCCCAAAATAAGGTTTAAAAACGTCTTTCCCCACCGGTTATACTTCTACTACTCAGGCGCAAAACCAGCTCAATTTACGGCTCTATCCAGAGCGCCAGTGACATGACGACATGAGCTCATCCCACCCAACACATTCTCACTCCCAGCTCGTCACGTATGGACGTTTGTCAACACTTTTTGTCCCACACGAGAAAGAGCTACCCCTACAGCGTTGAACTGTGGTGCTATGGGGTTCCCCTCTGCGTTCCAAACTGACACCAACGGGTGGCAGATTAAATCTGGCGTTCTGTGGCGGACATGTAGTGCATCTACGAACTGGTGACTGGAAGTTCAACATGACACCTCATGGCAAAGAACTCTCTGAGGGTCTCAAAAAAATAATTGTTGCTCTACATAAAGACGGCCTAGGCTAGAAGATTGCCGAGACCCTGAAAGTGAGCTGCAGCACGGTGGCCATACAGCGGTTCAACACGACAGGTTCCACTCAGAACGGTCCTCGCCATGGTCGAGTGCACGTGTTCAGCATCATATCCAGAGGTTGTCTTTAGGAAATAGACGTCTGAGCGCTGCCAGCATTGCTGCAGAGGTTGAAGGGGTGGGGGGGTCGGGTGGGGGGTCAGCCTGTCAGTGCTCAGACGCTACGCCGCACACTGCATCAAATTGGTCTGGATGGCTGTCGTCCCAGAAGGAAGCCTCTTCTAAAGATGATGCACAAGAAAGTCTGCAAACAGTTTGCTGAACACAAGCAGACTAAGGACATGGATTACTGGAACCATGTCCTGCGGTCTGATGAGACCAAGATAAACTTATTTGGTTCAGATGCCATCAAGCGTGTGTGGCGGCAACCAGGTGAGGAGCACAAAGACAAGTGTGTCTTGCGTACAGTCGAGCATGGTGGTGGGAGTGTCGTGGTCTGGAGCCGCATGAGTGCTGCCGGCACTGGGGAGCTACAGTTCATTGAGTACTACATGAATGCCAACATGTACTGTGACACACTGAAGTAGAGCATGATCTCCTCCCTTCGGAAACTGGGCCCCAGGGCAGCGGTTTAGACATTAATGGCTGTGTGATGTGTTATTTTGAGGGGACAGCAAATTTACACTGTTATACAAGCTGCACACTCACTACTTTACATTGTAGCAAAGTGTCATTTCTTCAGTGTTGTCACATGAAAGAATTTAATCAAATATTTACAAATATGTAAGGGGTGTACTCACTTTTGTGAGATACTGTCTATATAATATATAAAGTACTGTGAAGTTGTAATCCTTCTCTCTCTGTCTCTCTGCAGTCATCCATCCATCCTCTCGTCCCTCTCCTCCTCTACAGCGACAGACACTTCCCTCCTTCCTCTCCGTACAGCCAGCCAATCAGAGCACCTGCTGCCCGACAGGCAAACGCCCGCTACGGGACACACCCACATCACCATGGCGACAGTGTCACCAGGTGAGGTTTTCAGATAAATCTGGACGATTCCATGTGTTTTAAAGTCACTAGTGATAGTACTACTTCTAACACTACTGAGAAATTAAGTACTGCTACTGCAAATCTTTAAGTGTTATACTAACTCTACTATATAATACTTAGTTGCCTAATACTAAGTACTAATACATCAACTTCTCTGGCTACTGCCGTTACAACTGCCACTACTATTTCTACTACAATTACTACTGCTACTTTTACTACAGGTACTACAACTCCTACGGCTGCTACTTCAGCTAGTACTACTGCATGTAACAATAAAATACTACTACTTTAGGCTACTGTTGCATGAGAATAAAACATTTAAACATTACTGTGTGTGTCAGACACACACTGCAGTTATCTGCTCTCTCTCTCTCTGTCCCTGTGTGTGTCTATATGTCTCTCGCCCTCAGACAGCATGTGAAGAAGCCTCTGAACGCCTTCATGCTCTACATGAAGGAGATGAGGCACAAAGTGCTGCAGGAAGGACGCGAGAGAGAGAGCGCCGCCATCAACCGCATCCTGGGACACAGGGTGAGAGAGTGAGCTCCGCCAGGCCCTGATGAAGTCATAGTGATGTCATCATGGTTATCTCACCTACTGTATCTCGAGGGGGGAGGCGACGGAGGTGTGGAGTTTGAAAGATGTGGCTGTTTACCAGGCAGTGAGGCTTTAATGCTGCGTGCCAGTCACAGTTGGAGGTCTGAATTTCCCAGCTGAAATTTCCGCATGATGCCAAACATGAACAAAAAAACGTGGGTGACCATAAACTGATGTTTGTCAAGTGTGCCCTTAGTGTTAATTAAAAAGATGGCACGACGCATGATGTTACTCGTTACATCAGTTGGTAATCTGCGAAAGTCAGAAAATGTATATTTCCTAATGTTTTCACACTTTTGAGGCATTTTTAACATTTTTCTGAATAACTTTTGTTTAGAGAAGATGACTGTCAGAGATTGTTTACCGTAACCAGCTACCTAATAACACTAGTGACATATTTTGACATCAATTTACACACAGAACAGGTTTTACTGTATGATATTATGTATTATTTTAGTTTAATACATGAGTGGTGGATAAGACACGTGCCTTTGGTGTGAGAGACTTTGGTTCAAATCCACCGTAAGACACCAATTTACAATATGAGTTGACTTTGAGAGGTTTTATTGTACTTCTTCTAGTTGGAGGTTTGAAATGTTTGAGTACTGAGTCATCTGGAACGCAGCATAATGAAAAAAGACAATCCAGGTGCATTATGGGAAATGTAGGATCTAGTGTTTTGGGAGTTTATCCCACAGAAGGGACTAAAAGTTTAAATATTTTGGCTTCTAGTGCTTCAGTTTTGACTACTGTCTCTGTGTCTTCTGACTACCACAAATTTTATGGAAGTTAAATTCCTAACTGACGGATAAAAGCGTAACTTTGTTGTGTAGAGGGGAGCTAAGCTAAATCCTGTATGGACTTAAGTCGGCATTTTGGAAAATTTGTTTACGTGCGTTCTTGCAGAGACATTCAAATCGATACCACTGTCATATCTGTACAGTAAATATGAAGCTACAGCCGGCAGTTGTCCAAAGGCAACAAAATCCTCAAAGCAGCACCTTTAAAGCTCCCTATTTTTTGCTTTTCCCTCAACTAGCTCCAGCATGCCACTGCCCCCAGCCTAAAAATATAGCCCACCACATAACCCTCAGTAAAACCGCAGCGTGTCATTTTTACACATAGGTCTTTGTACAGATTAAACAAAACGTGTTGATCTGTGAGCTTCAGAGCTGCTGTTGGTCTGATACCCAGTCTGTCACTCTGTTGCAGTGGCACGCTCTGTCACACTCTGAACAGTCCAAATACTACAAACTGGCCGAGCAGGAGAGACTGCTTCACATGCAGCTCTACCCCGGGTGGTCCGCCAGGGATAACTACGTATGTACTGTACAACGATCATGTATACAGTGTGTGTGTGTGTGTGTGTGTTTCAGAGAGCTCCAGTTTCTTCTTCTTCTTTTATTTCCAGGGTAAGAGGAAGAGGAAGCGGAGCCAGCAGCCCACAATAAGCTGCCCAAGGTCGGGTTACAAGAAAACAAAATAAAAGGCTTCTTCAGTTTCAATGTCTGCGACGAGCTCAGGACTATTACTTACTGCTTTTACTACTACTACTACCACTACTGCTGTGATAATGTGATGACACTTGTGCCTTCCCATCATGCACCACACACACATATTTAAGTGTAACCGACCTGTGACTGTAGTAAGTAGTACAACAGTGTTGTTTAACCACTTTTTCGACTACTACAACACCTATTACTACCACTACTAACACTACTGCTGCTTGTACTATAACAATTACCACTTCTACTACTGTGATGATGTGAGGATGCTCCTTTCTTCCCATCATGCACCACACTAAGAGAGTATATGTGTGTGTAAATCTCTAAAATGATCTGTTGTGTTTTTTCTTTCTGCAGCTGGACTCTGAGTGTTGGATGAGACCCCTAAAGAGGCGACATGTGACGCACGCACATGTCCAGTAAAATCTTCTAAAGTTGCTGCTGATGAAACAGTAATTTTTTGGTTTAAATCTGTAAAGTCTTACTTGGTTATAGCTAAAATGGTTCCTTAGAGACTTGTTTTAACATGTGGCTCAATGATATTGTGTGTCTTTATTGATTACATCAGACAGCAAAGCAACTCGGCTGCAACCAACTCGTGTGTGTCATCTAGATGCAGTTTATCTGAAGTAATTTTTAGATCCTATCTCATGAGAATGTGAGGACAGTTTGAGCCCGAGTGGCCGTTTCCATCACAGCGGCTGTGGACTCCAGATCTGAGCAAGCATGGACAATTATTTACTATCCTTTGTTTTTATTGTATGTTGATGGGTGTATTGGACCAGTGTGTACTTTGTACATTTTTGTTGCTCAATAAAAATGTAATTACAGCCCTGCGGTTGTGTTTCCTCCAACCAGCCAAGACTCATATTATATATAGCGAGTACTTTGAAGGAATTGAATACAAACAGGTATTAAGTGCATTTCTTTGGGGCTGTAAAGAAAGTACAGCTGAGGCTTTTGCAGGCACATGGTCATAAAAAGTCACAAAATTCACCACTGTTTGTTTTACTTACAACACATCAATCACAAGTAGCAGCTCAACTGAAAATAAAGCTTTTATTTTCAAAGCAAACATCTGCTGTGACATTTTATTCACTTCAGCTTTAATATATAAAATAATGAACTAGGAAAACATCAGGAAACACTTGAAAGTATCTGGGGCTTATTGGAACGACAATCGTCATTAATGCAACTTTAAATCCGCAACAGTTTCAGGGAGTTTTGGTGGAATTTGAAGTTTAGGCAGTGACTGTTTCACAGATTTATTTCACAATAAAGAATGACATAAAATGAACAAAACAGTGAAACATCAAAATAGACAACAGGGAGCTCAATACTTTACACATTGTCTTGAATATATAACTTAACAAAAAACATACATAAAGACAAACAACAATACTCATTAAATACTCATAAAGTAATGAGGACCCAACCGTTGTTTTGCACTTGTAATGTTAATTTACTAGCAGTTTAGCTAGAAGCTAGCTAGCTAGCTTACAAACAAAGTGAGCATTAATCTCAATGTTGAATATTGTCATTTTGCTTTGTTGGCAGGAGGTAAATTATATTAAATGGATGCTACACAGCTAGCTACAGACTTCATTCTTCTGTCTCTAACTAGCTTATGAATTAAACAGTAAGAAACTGTCTCAACATATAAACATGTAGTGTCATTTGTCTTGCTTGGGATCTACGCTAAACTATTTATTTTAGCTTAATGGCTTCATCAAAATATTTAGGTTAATGAGCTGCACCAATTTCACTAGCACAACATTTCACTCCACTTTTTTGTAACGCCGAGTACAAAACATTGGTTGTGGCACTTCAACAATGCAACACAAGTTTGTTGATAAATCTAGATGTGACAAGTTCCATCAGTTCAATCAAAGTGACAGAGGTTTGTTTTTAGCGGCAGCCATCTTGGCTCCACAGCTGTTGCTAAACCAAATTAAGAGAAATTCTTGATTCACTGCTTTCTCTCCATCAGTTTTCCTGTAAATGTATTCTTGTGTCTCAAAAGCTTCCCCTGTTAGCATGCTGACAAGATGAAGTCCCTCTGCGTTGTGTTAGGGCTGGGTATCGAAACTTTGTTGGTACCGAACAGAATATCAAAAACTGTCAAGAACCCAAAGCTGCTGAATGTCTGGTCAGATTTGTCATCAGATACTTACGGATTTAAATCGTCAGAGGATTTTAGACTTGTTTCCATTAGATAAGTTCTTATACGGCTGCTTGTGTTGAACACATTGGACTTTAAATAAATAAACAAAAAGGTACCACTACTACTTATAATAGCGCTGCTTCTACAACTGTTACTAGTGCCTCTACAACTACTATTAATACTTTTGCTACTACAATTATACTATCCCCACAGTGATAACTGCTGCTATAAAGGAGTACTACTGTAGTAGTACGGCATTAGTATGAAAAGACTTCATGATACCCAGCCCTAATCAGAAGATGAGAAGACAGTGAACCTCGTGTTTTGTAAGTAAACGCTCTCCCGACTCAAAACGTCTTCATGTTTCAGGAGTTATGTCACGGTGTTTAGTTCTGCGTATGTTTGTGGTTCTCCTCGAAGATATTCTGGTGTCGGCCAGTGGATAAACGTTTTTAATACTTCAGTACTTCAGATTCACACAAATCACAGGCAAGTATGCGAACAATAACACTGGTATCACAGCTGCTCGTCTACAATCAAGCATACCAGGAGCCTTAGCTAGCAGTAATAACCACCGTCGTCACCTGATAGTTCTGTACCTCTTCAGCTGGTCGGTCCGTCGGTGGAACATCAGGAGGGTTTATCCTGTGAAATGAACCCAGAAAACCCTTCACACAGACACCTGAAGTCCAGCTCAGAAGCTGCAGCGGCTCTATGGTTGAATTTTGACGCCATCATACTCATACATACCACAGGTTGGATTACTGGCACGTTTGGAAATGCGGATCTAATAAATACACTGAGATGTAAAGTTCTGTGTACTTTGGTACAGGAGGGATGCTGCTTCAACTCGGGCCCTCCTCACTCGTCCCTCCCCGCACCCACCATCCTGTACCGCTGTCTGCAGAACGACGGCAGGGCCACGGGCCACGAGAACACAATGGGAACCGTCGTCTTAACGTTCCCCTCCAGGAAATTGAAGATCGGGTTCCACCACGTCCTCGACAGGTAGTTGTTGGGAGCTCGACGCAGCGTCTGAGCAGAAATACACACAAAGTAACAACAACAAGAAAAGACTGCAGATGATTTGTCAGTCAGCAACTCTCTGATTATTCATCGTTACCGTTATTTTTTTCCCAGCAAAGGTGTCAAAATGTCACGTTTTTTTTTTTACAGATAAATAAATCCATTTTCAGGAAGATAATAAGCTGATTTATCAATAACAAGCCTTACAAATAAGGTAAAAATGAGTCTGATGCCGCTAGTGTCCCGATGT